CTTTTTTCTTTTTGCTTATGTGGTGCTGAGGAATCAAACCCAGGGCCTCAGGCATGCAAGGCAAGCGCTCTACCACTGAGCCACCTTCCCAGCCCCTGTTTTGTTTTGTCGATTGTGGGACTTGAACTCTGGGCCTGGGCACTGTCCCTCAGCTCTTCAGCTCAAGGCGAGTGCTCTACCACTTGAGTCACAGTGCCACTTCTAGTCTTTTGGTGGTTAATTGGAGATAAGAGTCTCTCGGACTGTTCCTGCCCAGGCTGGCTTTGAACTGGGATCCTCAGATCTCAGCCTCCTGAGTAGCTAGGATTACAGGTGTGAGCCACCAGCACCCAGCTGAATTTTCAGCTTTTAATGGAGATCCTGGCTTTTCAGATTTAATAGCAACCCTCGATTTCTGGATGGTTCTCATCTGTAAGGACAAATGTGGGAAATGTCCCATTTACAATACATCTTTGATTTTGTTTTGTTTTGTTTTTTTTGGGTCCGGTCGTGAGGTCTGAACTCTGGGCCTGGGTGCTGTCCCTCAGCTCTTCAGCTCAAGGATAGCGCACTACCACTTGAGCCACAGCGCCTCTTCCGGCTTTTTCTCTTATGTGGTGCTAGGGAATCGAACCCAGGGCCTCATGCATGCAAGGCAAGCGCTCTACCACTGAGCCACCTTCCCAGCCCTACAATACATCTTTGAAAGTCTCCTATGAAATAATCTTTCTGCTCTGTGACTCTGTTTGGTGACTTAGATTGTGCTTCTATGAATATTCCTCTCTGTGAAGGGTTTTTCAAAGTATATAAACCCAACTGGGAAATCAGAATAGCAAGCAAATCCACAGAATGGATACTACATGTGGAAGTGCGTCATCCAGGCTGGAGTAGCCTTGCAAGAAGCCATGTGTGTGGAGTGTATTTTTATGTCACCTGGGGAGGTGTTTTGAGTTACCAGTTAGCTGGCGCTCATATTAGCTGAAATTTTGATCTGTCATTCCAACTTACACTGAAATCAACTCTTGATGTCATCTGATACCTGAAATGTTAAACACATTTGTACATGTGTGTCATGTTTATAGAAACATACCTGGAAATAGGCAGTGGCTTATCCAGGGTCATACAGCAGAACAAGGCTCAGGGTCCATGTGCTTGAGTCCCCACATCCAGTGCTCTTCCTGCTAAACTGCGGTCTCATGGACAAAATACCACAGCTGATCTTGGAGAATTCTTTACCATTCCTCAAAGTAGGAAGTCATACCCCAAACTATTCTCTTCATACACTAAGAGAAACAAATATCACTTAGAAAGTTGGCTTAGAGGGAGGATTGTGTAGGATGGAGGCAGAGCAGGCCCTGTGGGAATATGCAGGCATTTTGGTGCTTCCCATTGTCTTTTTAGGATTCCCAGTGTCTTAAGGATTTTGGTTGCGGGCCAATTGGAGTATTCCTTCCCATATTTCACCTTAAATTCAATAAATGTTGACTGAATAAATGAAGTTAGAAATGAGCCAAATCAGGTGTAGTTGCATACACCAGTCATCCCTGAACTCAAGAGGCTGAAGCAAGAAGATGCAGAGTTCAAGGACAGCCTAGGTTACATAGCAAGACCCTATCTGTCTGAGACAGAGACAGAAAAGAATAAGAAAGAAAAGAGGAGAGAAAGAGAGAAGGAGAAAGGAAGAAAGAGAGAAGGAGAAAGGAAGAAAGAGAGAAAGAAAGAGAAAGAGAAAAGAGGGGAAGGAGAAAAGGAAAAGGAAAAGAAAGGAGGAGGGAAAGGAAGGGAGGGGGAGACATAGATATGAAGAAAAAATGGAATTTTAAATAAATGGCTAATGGCTAATCACTTAATGGTAGATGTTTGGTAATGGAAGGATTAGGATGGGAGTACATACCCAGTTTGTTTTGTAAAGACGATCCTGCAGTTTGGAGGATACTGTGATCTTCTAGCAAGGTCTGGGAACCCCTGTGCCATGAGTTGTACATATTCTTACAGCCTCTCTTTGAGAAGACACTACTTTTCTACTACATAGTTGATAACCTGAAGCATTAAGAAGCCATCCAACTGCTCAGTCACCCTGCTAAGATATAACAGAGCTTTTACATTATCTGCTGTTTCAAACATCTTAAAATGTTAAAACACCTAGCAACAATCCAAGTTCTCTTCCACTTACGACATATCCCCACCAACATGGGTCCTTTTGTAATTGCTATTTTGTCACTGTCCTACTTGCTGGCATTTCAGAAAGATATTCTAGACTTACTTTGCATATTGCCTGCCCTAGCTATTTCTCCAAGGATTTTTGTTTCCTTTTGTCTTCAGAACAGTATTAAAAGCCAACATCTAGTCATTGGGTATGATTATTGCTATTGTGATTATTGCTGGGATGTCTGATAGGCCCTGTCATCAGCCAGAGAAAACAAATATGTGTGGGTATACCATATATTATATTATAAATTAAATAGGCATATATATGCCTATCAATCTAAACATGTAATCTTAGCAATATGGCCACTAGGATTATCATCCCCATGGACCATTCTAGCCTCTTTCTTTGTTATCTACAAATTTCCACCCTGGCTTCCACCATCAACTGCCCATTTCCTGTATACTTTGCATCCATGGCATAAGTGGCATGTGACATATATATTGCATGTGTAGCATGTATAACATACAGGGCATATGTGTGACCTATATGACATGCATGTCAAGAGCAACATGTCAAAATAGCATCCATGTTGACATATCAAAATGACATCCATGTCATGAATGGCATACATGTTAAAATGGTATGCATGTCAAGAGTGATGTACATGTCAAAGATGACACACATCAAGCATGTCATCTGACATGTGTGTTAATTTTGACAGGCATGCTGATTTTGCCATGCATGTCAGATTCCACGTGTCATTTGTAACATGCATGTTAGTTTTAGCACGTTGTCATCTATGACATGTCAGTTGACAGGTGTCAATTGTGACGTGTCAATTTTGATGCATTGTGACTCGAGTTGATTTTGACATGTCCATTTTGATGTGTCCATTTTGAAATGTGTTATTTGTGACATGTCAATTTTGACATGTTATTTGCAGCATGTGTTGATTTTTATGTCATTTGTGACATGTCAATTTTGACAAGTGTCAATATTGATACATGTCATTTGATTTTGACATGCCATTTGTGATGTGTCAATGTTGACGTGCATGTAGATTCTGTCATGTCAATGTTGACGTGCCATTTGTGCATGTCAATTTTGACAAGTCACTTGTGACATGTATCTAATTGTAACATGTCAATTTTGACATGTGTCACGTGTGACATGCATGTAGATTTTAACATGCCACTTGTGACATGTGCCAATTTTGATGTATCACTTGTAATGTGCATGTCTATTTTGGCATGTCAGAATCAACATACATGTCAACATCAACACGTGTCAAAATCAACACCCATGTCACAAGGGAAGAGAAGGGGAAATACTGAGTTATAAACATTTTAAAGGGGTGGATCTTTTTTGTGGGGAGGAGGGGACCTTGAACTCTAGGCCCAGGCGCTGTTCCTGAACTCTTCTTCAGCTCAAGGCTAGAGTTTTAACACTTGAGCCACAGTACTACTTCCAGTTTTCTGATGGTTAGTTGGAGATAAGTGTCAAGGACTTTCCTGCCTGGGCTGGCTTTGAACCACAATCCTCAGATCTCAGCCTCCTGAGTAGCTGGGATTACACACATGAGCCACCACCAACAAAAGGGGTGAATCTTATAGCATGTGAATTGTAACTAGGAAAGCTGTTACTAAACAACGGAAATCCTTTGCTGGCTCTTCTTTACCAAAGCACTTACTTTAGCAGGACACTGAGGCTCATGATTTATTTCTAAATAAACTCAACTCTTATCTCTTATTTCCTTCTTACACCACCTTCTAAGTCAATACTTAATGATCACAGGCCTTTGTACAGAATCCTACCACTTAGAAACGTTTCACTCCCCTCTTCTCTTGCTGGCAAATTACTATTTTTCATGAACAAATGCTGTTCATCCCAAGAAATCATTCCTACCTTCAATCTTGTGTAAGCTGTGAAACCTGATCTATACATCTGCCTCAACAGCACTTTTGAACTCCCTGAGTTTATAGCCAGTCTCACCCTTGGCTCCATGATCTAATGCTTGTAAAGCACTTAGTGTTTATTGAATAAATGAATGACAAAACACTCCCTCACTACTGACCAGAAATCGTGCTATTTTTCCTCCAACTAGTTTAATTGGTAAAAATCCATACAAATGTAACTTGAGTTCTAGCCTTTAGAGACCAATAAAATGAAATAAAAATACAAATTTGGTGCCAACATTGAGACTTAGAAAATTACCATAAAGTAACATTTCATGGGGGTTCATAGTTCGGATACTTATCATTGTTGACTGAACATACTTACTGGAGTCAATACTCTTTTATTCAACATATTAAATGTGTTGTTTAACTCTGGTAACCACAGCTGTGACTTAGTTAACGATCTCAATAAATCCTACTTAAATCAGAGACAGGAAAAAATTATGCAAATGAATTCTTATCTGTTTTTCTGCCCAAGGCATATCTGATAACAGATAAAACATACTCCAAATAGTCTCTATTTAATAGTCAGGAAGCCATTTGAGGTTTTATTTGGATCGAAATCAAATACAAAGAAAAGAAGCCTGCTATATTCACAAATGGTTTTATTTCAGAAAGAAATCATACATCAAAAGGAGACATAGATAAGAGCTTACATTCTCTTATAGAAGTGAAACTAGGAAAGTCAACAGTTATTAATATACAAAGCCACCTGATTAAAAAAGACAGTAACAGATAATGACAGATGGGCTTGCCTTAGATTCACCCAGGAAATACTTTTTTTTGTTTAAAAACAAGAAAGCATTGGTCTTTAGAAACGAGTTTGTAGTTCTAATGGACTTTGAAAATCAAACCAATCACCCCAGTCTCACCCCCACACTCATCCTGGCAGGATGGAAACCATCCATCAATTACACCTTGCAGCTAGATAGGATATCTTCCACTAATCTCTTGTAAACCCAGGCATCACCCTTAAGCCGCTGCCTCCTGATACCCACCACGTCGGGTTTTTGAAGTTGGCACACTTCTAGTTCAAACTGCATTGTCACCTTGCCAAAATCTGACTGTGTTTGACACTTCAGTGTATAGCTAGAAAAAACAAGATAAGATACCAGTTAGTAAAAGAACCATGAATATTCTGGATAATACTAGACAGAGTTGTTTTAAGCTTCTTGGAGGCAGTAGGGGAAATAAGCCATTATTTCACATGAAGCAATGTATTACTGTTTAGTTTCCAAATGGCCTAGCTATGCTTTAGTGACAGAGTATGACTGGTGTTTTCCTACAAGCTGAGTGAGGATCCTAAGAAAGGGTGTTGAAAGAGGATAAGAGGTGTTGCAGAATTCTCCTTTGCTCCAAAGGACAGCTCTTCTTTCATAGCAGAACATGCCATTCACACTCATGAAGTCTGGCATTTTTTTATGCAACCCTTTTTAACAGTGTAATCCAATAACATCAGGCCAGTTTCACAATGCTCATAACAAAGAACAGAGAAGATTAAGAACATTTTGTGTCCATGTGCCTCATATGAAATATAAACAAAACTAAAGCCACTACCCTACCAGAAAGACATCTATTTTTTGAGGTTTTTAAAAGAATAATAAGAGATTATGATTACTGAAGCACTTTATAGCAGAAAGAAAAGCAAAGGAAAAATCCAAGAGGATGGCACATTCCAATAGTTGAAACATACAGCATTTATAGTCACAACTGCACATCACCTCCCCTGACAATGGAAGGCCCAGTCAAGTGAAGCTTTAAGCTAATCTTAAGAAATAAGATTAATAGCTTAGCACTGGTGGCTTATGCCTGTAATCCTATCTACTCAGGAGACTGAGACCTGGAGAATCTCAGTTAGTTCAAAGCCAACCTAAGCAAAAAAGTCCATGAGATTCCATCTCCAATTTACCAGCCAAAAGCTGGGCTAAAGACATGGTTCAAGTGATGGTAAAGCACTAGCCAAGAGCAAGAAAGCCAAGTGAGCTTTCAAAGCCCCAAGGTCAGGCCCCAGTACTGGCGTGCACAGGCGCACGCATACAAGCATACACATACACACAAATTTTGCACAGGGAAAATTATAATTTTAATTCACATAAAATTATTTTACATGACAGTTTTGTCTTAGTGATCTTAAATAAACAACAAACCCAAGCCTGCATGCACGTGTGAGTTTTCCTCAAAAGTGTATAGAAATTATATTTGTTACATATAAGGAGAGTTCACAAAATATCATTCTCTGCTTATTTAGTTATGCTTAGGGGAAGGGTATGATCCCTTAAATATCAACAGTCAACTTAAGAAATACCAAAACACCCTAGCCTTAAGGTTCTTGACAGGAAAAAGCAGCAACCTCAATGAAAATAATTCAGTTATAAGGAGGATTATCAGCCATTCACCTTTTCTGGGGAAAAAATGGTATACTGCTGAGATTAGTAACACCATACCACTGAAAAACAACTTTTGCTTTCCTGCTTTGTCACAAAAAAGTAAAAGCAAAAACAAAGTAAAGGAAAAGAAAAGATCAGGACAGAGTCCTTCGGTTGCTCAGGAGGACAAAGTATTGGTTAGCATCTAGTTAGTGATCTCCTGAGAGAGAGATTGCATGCTGAGGGAAAGATTATCCAAAGTCTATGCTAGAGATCAGGATAGACTGTGGCCAAGAAGCCTCTGATGGCCGTTCACTCAAAAGCAAGGGAAGTTTAAGTAGAATACCTCCTTTATGTACTGAAAACCTAATCCTGCAAGACAGACAGTCACAAAGAGAAGGATTAACTATAAATCACTGATTTGTTCCAAGTGTCTCACTCATTTAATTATACTTTACAAATATACTTGTAAAAATAAAATTTGTAAAAATTAAAGGAGAACTACAAGTTTAGATTTTCCTTTTCTCAAAGTCTAATTTTGAAAGTGGTAACAAGACTGGTGCTTAAAACTCAAACCTAACAAAGAGAATAAATTGTGAGCAATGACATTAGTATAAAAGCTTTCTGGAAAGTAGTGGGATCTTTCTTTTTTTTTTTAGCTAGCAAGTTAGGAGAAGAAAACAAATCAGTGCACATTTCTTCAAAGTCTACAAAGCAGGAAGTAAAAAATGGTTCTTACCCCTTTTGTATAAAGTCCACATGCTTCTTTGGAAGAACAGACATTATTTCATTCAAGAGTTGATCAGGATTCACTAATTTGGTTGTAGTCACATTGTAGTGAAGCTTAAAAAGAAAAAGAAAAAATGAGAAGTAAATCTATATTCACATAAAACCAGCCTCCCCAACCTACACATCTAAAACAACCTCAAAGAAAAAAAGCTCAAGGAAATACTAAAAGCCAACTCTCAGATAATTGGGTTAGGGCAACTGGGAAAGTCAGGAGAAATAGTATTTAGTAGGAACCATACCTATATTATCTATTATACTTTCATCTTCTACCAATCTTTTAAAGCAAATAGCTATTAAGTAGCATCAACCTGTCTATGTGTTGGAACTCTATTTCTTTCTTCCTTCCCATACCAGGATGCACATTAATAAGTCCTGAAATGCAGGGGCTGGGAAGGTGGCTCAGTGGTAGAGCACTTGCCTTGCATGCCTGAGGCCCTGGGTTCGATTCCTCAGCACCACATAAGCAAAAAGAAAAAAGCCGGAAGTGGTGCTGTGGCTCAAGTGGTAGAGTGCTAGCCTTCAGCTGAAGAGCTGAGGGACAGCGCCAAGGCCCAGTGTTCAGGCCCACAACCGGACCCAAAAAAAAAAAAAAGTATCTCTAGTTGCACTGATCATGGTAAAACACACCTATAATTCAAGAAGTCTGGAGGCTAAGAGACAGAAAGATAGCTAGTTTGAAGCAAGCCTGGGCTGCATGGAAGACTCTGTGTGTGTGTGTGTGTGTGTGTGTGTGTGACAGACAGACACACAAGCAGGAAGGCAGGCAGGCAGACAGATAGGAGAGATAGGAGAGATAGATAGATAGATAGATAGATAGATAGATAGATAGATAGATAGATAGATAGATAGATAGATAGATAGATTTTGGTCAGGTCATACTTTCCTCAGCCCCAGTTTCTATATCCATTGATGGTAGGTAACAGTTCCTCTATTTCCCTACATTACTACAAGGCCCACATGAGACATAAGCAGCCTTCAGAAACTATGAAACACTCTCTTATCTAATTTGTTAGTCCATGCCCCCTTCTAGCCAGCTAAGAACATTTAAGGAAGCATACTAAGGACACTCATCCATATGGCACAAGCCATCAATCTGAAAGATCCCATGGATGGGAAAGTCGGGGCCCCACAGATGGAGGCCAGACCCTGTTCTCAACTCACCATCTACTTGGGGAGGCTCCCACTTGGCTACCGCTGGTTTCATGCATTATTCAATCACAAGAGTCACCCTACAGTGGCCTGTTAGTGTCCTTCACACCGTTTGAGAGTGTCTTCAAGTAGGGCAGATAAGAAACAAGGAGCTGAATGACTTTGAACACACCTGCAGAATGCAGATGAGCCAGGTGCTTTGGCAGCATGGGGCTCCTCATGGAGAAGGCAGAGGGAGTCCAAACATTAGAGGGGACAGTGACAGCTACACAATGTGGACATCCTGTCCTTTGTGATACTAGTGCTTTGTTCTTTTAATAGTGTTTGCTCCTGGAGGAACTCTCTGGGCTTGCCTATTTATTTATCTATTTGCTTACTTACTTACTTATTATGAGATAGGGTTTCACGATGTAGCCCAGGCTGGCCTTGAACTTAACCATACTCCTGCTGCTTCCTTCTGGATCACCACATCAGCTAATCTTTAGGTGTATATAAACTCCCCTCTATTTCAGTTTTACCCTTATTGTATTTCAGTTCACATTCATGCCTCTAAACTCATTTGATTCTCAAAACTACCTTGTATGTAAACAAATTATTTCATTCTCTTGAGTCTAGAACACAATTTTTTTTTTTTTTGTCAGTCATGGGGCTTGAATTCTGGGTCTGGACGCTGCCCCTTAGCTCTTCAACTCAAGGCAAGCATTCTACCATTTGAGCCACAGTGTCACTTCTGGTTTTCTGAGTGGTTTATTAGAGATAAGAGTCTCACAGCCTTTCCTGCCCAAGCTGGCTTTGAACCATGATCCTCAGATCTCAGCTTCCTGAGTAGCTAGGATTATAAACATGAGCCACCAGCACCAGGCTTTAGAATACAATTCTTGAGTCCGCATTCACATAGTCTGAATTCAGCTTGGTCAGTCCTGATGCTCAATGCTTCATATGCTCTCATGAACCCCAATGTCCTACATCCTTTCCCTTCTCTACTTGATCCATGCTAAATAATGATTTTATTTTGTATGTTGCATAGAGATTCCAAACTAGTAGAAAACAAACTTGAATGAGCTTAAGCAAAGAGGAGAAAGCTATTATAAAGAAAGGAAAGGTGCAAATCTCAAGAAGGGATATCCATGGGTAGTGCTCTCTCTCTTTCTCTCTCTCTCTCTTCTAGCCCAGGTATCCAACTTCAGGACTAAATATCAGTGAGAATACCTCTGAGGATAAAATAGGAGAATTAGGAATAATCCTAATAGAATTAGTGCTGGGAAACTTCTATAGATTAGTATGTGTGAGACATACATATCATTCAAAAATATATTGAACCAGGTGTTGGTGGCTCACACCTGTAATCCTAGCTACTCAGGAGGCTGAGATCTGAGGATCCTGGTTTGATGCCAGCCCAGGCAGGAAAATCCATAAAACTTATCTCCAATTAACTAGCAGAAAACCAGAAGTGGTGCTGTGGCTCAAAGTGGTAGAGCAGTGGCCTTGAGTGAAAAAGCTCAGGGACAGAGCCCAGGCCCTGAGTTCAAGTCCCACAACTGACAAAAACAAAAACAAAACCCCAAAAAGCATATTGAGCACTTACTATGTCCTAGCAGCAGTGAGTGGTGGACACTGTCAGATGATACAGTCACTTAATGACAGTTATGGTATGATAGAAGAGAAGGAGAGGATACATACCACAGCAGGTCAGGAGAGTAGCTATACTCATATCTGATAAAAACAGACTTCAGTCTACAATTAGTCAGAAGAGACAAAAGAGGTCACTTCATGTTAAGAAAGGGAACATCAAAGGGATATAGCAAGTGTTAATTTATACACACCAAAGTTGGCATACCCAATTTCATTAAACAAACACTACTGAACTTATAAGCATAGACAGACCTCACATAATATATCAATAGATCGGTCATTTAAACAAACAGCAAAGACAACAACAAAAAACCCAAAGAAATTTCAGAGTTCACACTATAGATCAGATGGACTTAACAGAAGTCTACAGAATATTCCATCCAGCAGCTTCACAATACACATTCTTCTCAACAGCTCATAGAACTTTCCATGAAATCAATTTTATACATTTATGTTTTATAGACATATATTCTAGGACATAAAGCATATTTACAAAAAAAGAATTTCTGTACTTTGGTCAGGTTTTTACATCAATTAATCTTTCCTTTCTCCAGATGTTCAGATGCTTCTTTTTATCTTAGTTCATTATATTCCAAAAGGATCCCAAATTATCTGTGTCTTAGCATCAGAACACCCTCTGACTAACACACATGCTCCCCCTGCCCCTCGGGCCCCTCCCCCCCTCTATGTCTTCCCCACCACCACACACACCTACTCCTAATAGTCATACCCTCCTCCTCCTCTTCTTTTTCTTCTTCTTCCTCCTCCTTCTCCTCCTTTTTTTTTTTTTTTGTATGCCAGTATTGGGTTTTGAACTAAGGACCTCCTGCTCTCATTCAGCTTTTTCACTCATGGCTGGCTCTCTACCACTTGATCCACATCTTCAGTTCATTTTTACTGTTGGAGGTAAGAACTTCAGGGATTTGTCTGCCTGGGCTGACTTCAAACCTCACTCCTCAGATATCAGCTGCCTGAGTAGCTAGGATTAGCCAATAGGTAGGACTCTAGACCAGTGCCTGGCAACATTCTGCTTTTTATTTTATCTTTTTCCCTCTCCTCCAGAAGAAAATTTGATTGCCTTAAACATGTTCTATAGTGGTTAAAATCTTGGCTAGAATAATTTTCTTTTTTTT